CGTTAGTCAAAAGGTTGAGAACCACTGATCTAGATATCAATTTTGCCGCCACTTTCAATAAATCTATTTCTACCACACCAAGACAGAATGACGAAGAAGAAAATGTTAAACCATAAATTTTGCAACGTAGCATGCATTTATAATTCAACGTATTAACGTGAATCAGAAAGGTGGAACAGTTCTATATTCCCCGTTCCAGTAGGTCTATTCTATACTTAAATTGAATTTTTCATTTTTCGAAAGCCCGTTTTGCGATATTAGGATTTGAAAAGTAAATTTGTCACATTCGAAAAGTGGTTTTCTTAATTCACCGGTTTAAAAAATTTATATTATTATGTAAAAATTTATTTTCAACTTATTTCATTTGCTGTTCACTCTATGCAACTGGCAGCAAAATTTCAACTTGAATTTAGAAACTGACATAGTTGCAGCAACAAATGATGGTGCTGCTGTTGTGAAAAAAATTGGCAAATTATCATCTATAATTAATCAACTATGCTATTCACACGCTATCCACTTAGCAGTTACTGATATGTTATAAAACATAGAGAAATGGTTGAAGCTGAAGCGAAATAAATGTTTCAAGTGAGGAATCGGAAGATGAAGACGAATACGAATATAACCGATTATGAAGATTCTCTTTATTATGTTTGTATCCGAGGCCATTCTATTCCTATTTTGTCTGACAATTACAATCAGTTCCACAAACTCGAAAAATTTGTAAGTTCTTTAGAAAATCTCGAGTAAGAAACACCATTCTTCAAAATTATATCAAAAAAGGAAAGGATTAAATTTAATTCTTGACTTCAAAACAAGGTGGAATGTATGGATGACATGATTGGAAGATTTCTGGCAGTAAAAGAATGTGTTGTTTTAGCACTGAATGATTTTGGTTCTTCTTATATGTGGAATGAAACTCAATATCATAAACTTTTAGAACTTCCGACGTCTTGGAACCGATTCATCTAGCAACTGAAGGCTTAGGGCGACGGGATGCTAATTTTCTAACAAGTGAAGGTATAGTTGAATTTCTGTTAAATGAACTAAAAAATTTAAACACTGAAGTAAGTTTCAAATTATTACATGCTTTGGAAGAACGAATTCAAGTAAAAAGACAAGTAGAACTGTAGAGACATTAGGTACTTTTGAATCTGGAGAGATGAAAAATGAGCAATGCCATCGCCAGGATTTGAACCACGGACTTCTCGAATACACGCCGAGCGTGCTGACCACTACACTCGGCGCACTACGAAAGCATGCTAAAAAGGCGGGCGAAATACCTTATATACTCGTCCTTTTAAAGGGCGACTGGGTGTTACGGGAACCAATCTCCAAATCCTGGTGGTGGAGAATCATCATCCACCACGCTTTTAGTTCGGGCGCCACTGTAGAGACATTAGGTACTTTTGAATCAGAACGGATGAAAAATAAGCAATGCCCTCGCCGGGACTCGAACTACGGACCTCTCGAATACACGCCGACTACACTACGAAGGCATGATAACAAGACGGGAGAAGTACCTTATAGAATTAGTAATTCTTTTGCTGTATTTGCAAAATCCACAAAACATTTCTATTTCAGCGAAGAAATCTAGTGTGCTTTCAAAAACCGAAATTATCAAGTTATCTGGAAAGATTTCGTCTAGAATATTTCCAAATTCTTATGTGGAAACCGATTTTTATTAAGAGCAAATCGAAGAACCTAAACTACTCATCAAAGTAATGCTTTTTTAAAAAAAAGCCATGGAAAAATCAATTCATAAGTTTCTTGAAGACCCTGAAAAAAAAAAACTTACAAATCCAACGACACTGAGAGCTGAATTTTCAATATTTGAAGCAACGGAATAAAAGAACTAAAAACTTAGATCTGTTATTTGATGCCCTGAAAACTATAAAAATCAAGCTCAGTAACTAGTGAACGAGTATTTTCAGTTTCAGGCAATATTGTGTCCAAAATAAGAACGCTACTTAACCACCGTTCTGTGGATATTTTATGTTTTTTAAAAATCTATTTTCTTGAGAGAAATAAACTACTGATCTCAGTGGTATTCTGGCTATAAGTTATCAGTCAGTCAGTCAGTCAGAAATTAAAATTAGTGAAAATAATATAAATATTATGTGAAATTTTTGTTCGAGTTTTGGTTATTTTGTGTGAGCAATGTGTATATGTTTAATCCTTAATTCTTTTTTTATATGACTTTGATATTGATTTCGTTATTTTGTGTAAGTAATATGTATATGTAATCCTTATTTTCTCATATTTTGATTTTGATATTGATTTCGTTTTTTGTTATTTATATAAATTAAATAAAATATTTTTCCATATTTTTCGCCAAAAATTCGAAAACCGGTTAAAACCGAATTTTTGGAAGTACTGAATTCGAAAGCCGGTTTTTCAAAATATTCGGTTTTTGTATAAATCCTATGCGATATACTGTATATCAGATATAGTATATGCAGGGTGAATCTAAATTGTTTGGGGGAAATGTTTTTTCTTTATTCGGGCTCTGTGGCTTCAACCTGAGACAGCCAATTTTATGTCATAGGTTCACTTCGTGGGCAGGCGGGCTGGCTGCTCCATTCAATGTATACGCGTTTCTGGGAAACTTTGAGATATGTACACGGGACCAAAGTAAGAGATTTTGCAATGGAATATGTGTGCGGAAATGGCGAGTGTTAAGTGCTCACACGTAAGGAAGACATGAATGACAGGTAACTAAAACGCATTTAACGATTAAACTATTTGCAATAGATGTTTGAAAGAAAGACTACCAACAGCAGTTCCAGACGGCGTATGGATTGTCGCATGTTAGCAAAGATGTCAGGCATTTTATGCACATCTCTAGTAGCAACTGGAAATCTGGTCTCTGGATCTTCATCGGGTTCAATAAGACTTTCAAAGATCATGTGGATCATGTATCTCTTACATAGCTGTGCACGGCAAAATATTTCTCCACGTGCATAATTAGGCCGAATTTGAAGATACGAAAGTATATCTTAAAATTCGAAGACCATCTAGTGAACGAAACCACTGTAGTAGATGTGTTATGAAGGAACAGGATTGACCAGAAAGGGATTAAAATCAGTTGTAATACATAAGACTCAATGTAATACACATTAGAGAGTTACAGAGAGTTGTAGGATGTAGAAAAAATTTAAATATATAAAGGAGCCATAGAATTTTAAGGATGTAAATGCGAGGCAATTAAGAAAGCGTCCAAATATTAGGAAATTATCGATGGTCATGTGAATTCGCAGGAATGTGTCGAAAAGGAATATGTATCTTCATTTTTTCAAGGAATGCGGTGGTACTTTTCGAAGTATGACTTGTTACTTGCCTTGATAAAATTTCACGTTTCAAAAGTCATTAAGATAAAGAAATAAATTTTTTTCTGTAAATATCGGATGTAAAACTGTATCTGATAGTACGTTCAGTTGATTTTCACATAATTCCCACTCTTCTTATTTTTTATTTTCCACTGTAGACAACCCTAAACTCCTTACTGAAATTTTCTCTGCATTGACGGAACAAGGTTAGTATATTTTCTTCTCTACGTTTTTCCATAATAAATAGACTTTCTTTTATTGTAGTCATTCAGATAAACCCACGCTTCATCAAGGGTCACATACATAAAAAACTTTTCATGCAGTCTGTTTGAAAACTTTATATCAGAGGTTTCTTTTTCCCTGGAAAGGACGAGTGTGGCGTTTTATTCAAGTTTTAAGAATAGTTAGCTTCATGTTGCTACTTTCCTTTATACTTTATTCGTCACGAAGTCGCTCAATCCGAAGCTCTATGAAAATTTTATACTAAACAGCTTGGGTTAATATTAGCATGAAACTGTAACCGGTATAATTCTGAATAAAAGCTCAACTATTAGTGCTTCTTCTTGGCTAGAGAGCCGTTAGTTCCAAGTAGAAGTAAAAGACTGACATTATCAAGTGTTGGAAGTTGGTTGTGCTTTTTTTATTGTCCGAGCTAGTCAGTGCTCTAGCTTTGCGAAGGTGTAACCCAGCTAATATATTCTAAAGTTCCTGCGAGTAGCTGTCAACAATAAATATGCAATAAATAATAGTAATACTTGTTTTTCACTGCATTAATGTTTGTTTGATTTGATTTATTTGATTATGACAAAACATTCAGGGGCTATCTGCTTATGGGGAGAGGTGCTTAGCGGAGGATTTTCTAAGGGAAACTGGCTCGTATACACATTACAAATAGAGAAAATTACGAAAACGGCCAATGCAGTCAGGCTTTTCTCAGGAATTCGAAACCTAGACCGAACTACCAGTGTTTAGCGATTTTACCGCTCGGCCGCTGGTGGGATATAAGAAATGATAACTCTCCAATAAGTCGATGTAACTTTTAAAGGTTATCAGGTTTTAAAGTTTAGCAGTAAGTAAGTTAAGTAATTACACATATTTAATTGGTATAAAATAATAAATAAGAATTTAATAAAACTGGGAAAAATGGAATAATTAAGGTATTTCTCAGAACTTTACATATTAAAAGAGGTCAAATTTATTAAAGCATGCAATTTTGGGAACTTGAAACTTTTCCCGTTGCAAGCCATCTTGGATTTTATGTAAATTCTACGGCTGTTTTAATTCAATTTGCTTTTATTTTAGTAAGTAATATTTAATTATTTGGAAGCAAAACTTAAATGTATTTCTGTGATATCTGAGAACTTTAAAAAATTTGCTCATTTAATGTATCAGTAAGTAAAATGCAGACGACATATTAGTGAAAGTAAACGCAATTTCTACTTCCAAACTTAAAACTATTACCATTTTTCTTTAAATAACAATTATAAAAACTTGAATACAGCTCTTTTTAAAAAGTTATTAAATGGATGACTTTTAAATTAAAATATTTGAAATATTACACTGATAAAAACTAATTTATTATTTTTCGGAGAAAAAAAATGTTATATATAGAACTGTCTCCCCTTTTCTTTGAACTGTTGTGTATTGACACATTAAAATGAAAAAATAATTTACCTTAATTTGGAATATAAATGTTTTGTCAGATGGTGCTATATCTTCACCAAGGACTACAATTCGGAAATGAGCTGAAAGATATATCAGTATTAAAAAGTACATGAAAATAAAATATTTAAATTTAAATTCAATGTTAGTTTGAATAATAAAAATACATCATATAATATGAACGAAATTAAGAGATAAGCACCATCAACAAATCTCTCTGAAAGAGAAACACATTAATGTATAATGAGGCAATAATGGAAGAAAAGCGACATAGGACCCTCTTCTTCTAGAAAAGAAAACTGCATCATAAACATAAGTTACAATCTTCTAATACAGAGAAAAAATATAAAATAATAATCTTTTACAAAATATATAACAGTTGAATAGTTCGAAGTCGACTTGAAGGTAAGCAATGAGTTTCGATATAATACTGATGCGTGCGTGTGGTTCGTAATAAATTGAATACACACAGAAACGATGATATCTTGATAACATTTATTTTACCAAAAGGTTTACAATTCTAGAACCTCCCACAAAAGTACTCTTACAACTCTTCTCGGTATGACAGAGCACTATCAGTAGTTATCATTTTAAACTATTAAGAACATTACATACAACCCAATGTAAAGCGCATCTAAAGAGCGAAGCTGGCACGGAAATCTTTCAATGTTCCGAATTTAACACAACTAGAAAACTGAAAACTCATACTCTCTCCACACTTATTTAGTTTTTCTACGGCCGCAGAGAAATCTCTAGTATCTTCCATTTCTCGAAATTACCGGAAGGCATATACGATTAAAGTTACATATAAGAGCCTGATAATATTACATTACATATAGGGGTCAAGTTATTACAATAATTATACAGGAACGGGACCAAAATGTCGCGAAATGGTTGTCAAGTTTAGCGACATTTGGCGAATTCTATCAGTCACAAAAACCATCACCAGCTCGGTGCTATCTCATCAGTTTAGCGAGATAGTCATTTGCTTCAATGCTAAATAGGCTTTGCCTTGTAATCGTATTTTTCCAGCAGAGCTTCACTCTCTTCAGACTTTTCATGTTACACTGTACAAAAGATACTACAATTTCACGTGTAATTTCCCTAAAATTATTTATATATTATAAACTACTTTCTCCCTCCTTTCCGCATGCCTTCGCTGTGTAATTGGAAGCATACTCGACGCGTATTTGAGAGATGCAGGGTTCGAGTCCCGGCGAGAGCTTTGCAAATTTTTCATGCCTCCTGTATCAAAACAATCTAATGATTAAATAATATGTATAAAATTCATAACAATACAAACCTTCTTTGTATAATTGAGATTCGTAGCCCGAACTTGCCTTTTTAACTGGTGAATACACCCTTTTTCAAGGAATTCTAAAGTCACTGTACTACATGTGTCACAGCTTTATTATCCATGAAAATAAGCTGAACTTAGTGTTTTTGAGGCAAACTAAGAAATAAGGTAATGTAAAGTAATATACGAGAGTGTTGCAACCCTCCTGGCCGATAATAATCGGCCTCATGGTTAACGCAGCACACTCAATACAGATTAAAACTAAAATACAATTAAAAACATCAAATCAAAATTCCCAATATTGTTTTATTGGCATTCATAAAGTTCAAAAATCCTTTACAAATCTAATCTCTTTTCTGCTGCAATAGAATTCCTTTATGTTATCATATTTTTCCCTGACATGTCGCAATAATACGCAGTCTTCAACGAAATGTCGTGCATTTCGTTGAAGTGCACTATAAAAATTACTAAGATTATTATTTTTCAAATTAAATATTTTCAGGTACGCCTGGAAGCGCCCGTGTCCAGTTATTATTTGATTGTAATCAAAATCAACAGTCTCATAGTTTTAGAAACTTCAAAGTTCAACAAATTAATCTTTCCTTTTTCGCGGAATTGTCCCTTTCGCTTTCCAGCAATCATAAGAGAAATCCTTGATTTTGCCAATAACAATTATCTTTTATGCTTTAATATCCAACAGATCGCCGGCATTACCTATGACAGCCTTTTTGGCCGGTTATGTCGGCCCTGCCATGCCTATAACACCAATATGGGCTTTCAACCAGTTCATTTTCAGTTGATGTTATTTTTTCAACTTTCACATGGAGATCTTTTATGTAGGAGATCTTTTATATTGTGTTATCAGCATGCATCTGCTAGTGCTTCCAAATGAGAGAATGAGTCTGTATATACTATACTAATATATGTTTTTATAGTTAGGTTTTTATCAGTCTATTTAAGAGCAAATATGAAAGCAGACATTTCGGCTTGAAAAACCGAATTGTAAGGTTCAAGTCTAATTTTGCCATAGTCCAAACAAACACTTTGCCATTTCTGTACCAAACAAGTAAACCACATATGTCGTACCAATTCCATTATCATAACCCGAAACCTGAAGTAAATATATCCAATTCTCCTAAGAAAATATTTCGTCTCTGATATTCCACTGCTTTTCCTAATGCAGGATGTATACTGTTAATATTAAAGACTAAAAAACATATATTGTATGCAGTAAAACCCCCATAAATAACAAAATCAACATTTTGTGAACGTAATTTAAATTTATCATAATAAAAACAACAAAATATCGAGAGGGGCGGCATACCAACCAATATGCAAACGACTTTCGATGAGACTTTTTTAAGGTATCTGGTCAGAAGCAGCAGCCAGGGTCGTTGTATAGTGTCTAATTTATTTCTGATTTGCTGCAGGTCTTCGGCTCTGGAACTCCGAGCCCCAGTATAATGGGCGTTATAATTGTTTTGTAAAATAATCTAATAATGTTACTTTCCAGTACTAATGACTCAGCTGAGAAATTGCTTTTACAATACGTCAGAATAGAGTTAGTTCTTTTATAAATATTATTAAAATGTTCTTTAAAATTCAGTTTACGATCGAAAAGGCACCAAGATATTTAAGGTTTCAACATATTTAATTCTAACATCTTCATATTTTTGTAGTGGTGGTCTAGTTTTTTCCACACCCTTTGGCTAAAATAAGAAATTAGTTTTTGTAAATTTAATCTCAGCTTTTCTTTTTCAATCCACATTCTTAAATCTACACCAAATGAAAACAGTTTCTCTAATTTCTCCAAAGAGTTTTCACGAATTACATATAAATTGCCATCATCATTACAAAACATTCTTATACCATTTGGAAATTCTTTCTTTAACAATTTCTACATTACGGTGTTCCAGAGCAGCGGGGCACTGCGGAAACCCTGCGGGCATCCTTTGTAAATTATACTTTCAATACAAATATCCTTATTAAATCTGTAAACAACTTTCCTTTCGTTAATATAACTAAGAAAGATTCTATAAATATTTTAGGGCATTCCAAAATCTCTAAGGGTGGAGAGCAAAGATGCCCATTTAACAGATGCTCCCGAGACATTGTAGGAGACAACAGGCACATGGAATTCAGATTTTTGTGATCTAATAACATTGACAAGATCATAAAGAGCATTTTCCGCGAAACTCCATGGTTTCTTTTCTGGCCCGATCTTCTGTGGATGCTGCCAATTTCTTGGCATTGCTTTAACAACAAGCATACCACGTTATGGAGACTTATAAGTCATTTCCACTTAACACCAATCTGAAGTTTGTCAGAAACCGCTCATCTTAATTAGTCAATTAAATCATAATTTTTAAAAAATGCTTCCGTTTGTGATTCCTTCTCGCAAATGATATTTTCAAGTCACTTCAGTCTGTTTCTGAGAGTCATTCATTACAGTAAATTAATTTTTATTTGATGTAACTTTCAAAAATGATAATGCATTCATACGAAGATTTCTTACTGTGAGAATAGAAATTTCTCACATCACGCAGCGCATTCATTAGGGATGATATCGTTGAATACTTGTAGGTATCTAGTTAAGATAGACTGTCACACTACAGCATCACACTGTACTAAAATATTCAGAAAAACATTAAAATATTACACACATACAACAAATAACAATTCAAAATACAGTAAATAATTTTCGCATACTTAACAAAGTACAAATACAATAAGAGCAGAATATAAAATCTCTAATTACCTAGCTATGCTTAAACACACATACTTTCAGAATCCTTAATACAACACGATTTTTGTCCATTTTTTAATTTAATCCCAATCACTGATGAGTACATTTTCTTAGTTCATTGTGATGTAATCTTTTATTGTCAAATGATAAAATATTTTAAGATATCTGCAGAATGGAAAAAATAGTAAGTTACTCGCTAATTTTGAAAAATGTTTAGACATTTTACAATTATTTTATTCTATATTTAACCTCCTAGTCTGTGTTTTACAATATTCTGAACATCATGTTTTCATAAATGAAAATAATTTTTTTTTAAATATGTAACCACAACAGTTTTAACTTAAATGTTATTTGGAAAACAAATTACATAAAAGTTCTTGTAGGATTGTATGTTTATAACCAATTATTATGGGCTGATACTTCTTTTTTGTTTAGTGCTCACCAGAATACAAATCAGTTGTAGAATATAAGTTAGTTGTTAAGTTTTGAATGTGTTAGAGTTTCTGGCAGCCTCGCTTGCAATTATGTACTACCGCCAAAACCTGTTCCGGCTTCCGCTATTTTGCTAGTCGACTTTAAATATGCACTATTGATTATTTCAGCCAACAGAAGTAGACTATCTTTATGCGAAAACTCTTTTGTCAGTCTAATAGGGTCAGAAGGACATCGAATTCAGCTTCTATACAAGCAATACCCAACATCCTGTGCATAACGTTTCCTCTGTTTACAACAAAAAAATAAAAATGTACTCTAAATGTCGTTTTGTGACATATTCTTAAAATGTTTTAATTTTTATTTCTTTGTCATATAAAAGGAATAGATGTTGTCATGTAAATTAATAATGCAACTTAATTGTCCGAAAATATACATTGTAGTCCTTTCTATACTTCGAATTGACTTTCTTATGTGCATATAATTGATTCAAAAGTCAAAGATTTAAAATATTATATTTTATTACGTTAGCAACATATATATAACAACAATATGTGTAATGTAAGGAAGTTTTTTTATTTTTATTTTTTTAATTCTACTATATCAAGTATTAATGGCCCAGTTTTTTATATCGTTGCATATTCTGGCATTGCATACTCATCTTATTTGGTATCTGCCGAAAACATCGCGGCAAAAATATCGTGGACGATAACATAGCGGGGAAAACAACGCAAAGCGAAAACGTCGTGGTACAAAACATCGTGGGAAAAAATAAAGCAAAGAGAAAACGTCGTCGAAAAAAAATCGTCGTCGTAAAATAAAGCGGATCAAAAACTTCGCAAAAAAACATCGTCGACGAAAATATCGTGGTAAAAAAGTAAAGTACCTTCAATCATCGCATGAAAAAAAACATCGCAGACATGCGTTTTTTTCAGGCTTTAATAACTGTTTAAATACTTGTTTGTTTAATAATTAAAAAAAACTCGCATTATGGTTTGTGAACGCAAGGTGTGTAAAGAAGGATCATTTTACTTTCATATTTTTTATTAACTAACTAAATGTTTGCTGAAAATGTAAAATGGAAATTTAAGTATAGAAAATTAATGCAATTTATAGCACTTAATAGAATTTCAAACTGACATAGTTAACTAAGAAAGGTCATTAATAAATTATTTTTTATAAGTTTTACTGGTAATTTTTCATGAAAAGTATCTAAAAAAGAATAGAAAAAGAAAGATAAGTAACTGCATAACTCTATTTATAAAAAAATTGCTAATAATGAGATTATTTTCTTTACTTTTGTTAATCTGATATTCTTATTGCGAAAATTACTTCTTTTATTTAAATTTCTTGTTTTGCTTTTTTTTAAATTCATTCATTTATAAAAAAATATGAATGTGAAAATTATCTTTCTTTTCATCTTGCACACACAAATCATTATGTGAATATCCATTTGCAATTATTAAAACCTTAAATATCATGTCTGCGATGTTATCGTCATGTGATAATTTGTAGGTACCTTATTTTTTATCACGATATTTTCGACGTTCGACGACGTTTTTAAACTGCGAAGTTTTTGAACCGCTTTCTTTCCGACGACGATATTTTGTACCACGATGTTTTAGAACTTCGATGTTTTCTCCTTGCTTTATTTTTTCCCACGATGTTTTGTATCACGACGTTTCTCCACGAGGTTTTCGTTCCCGATTTTTTTGCTGCGATGTTTTCGGCTTTAACCTCTAATTTATACCGCATCATCATACCACATGCAATGTCATATAGTGTATATTGAATAAGGTGTACCCACTATTGTTTATGGTATACAAATGCAGTATCATACTCATATAATGGATATACATTGCAGTACCATACTCATCTAATTTCACATACAGTGACATATATTGGATATAATTCTAAATTATATCCACTATATAGCATTGTATACTCAGCATTGTATATTCTGTGATCCCACCAATACAACTAGCAATGCTTAGTTAATGGCATGTATCAATGATCCCCACAGAAATAATTTTATGCTAGCCAGAATATCATCGTTGTTCTTCGAAATATTCAATAATGACAGCAGATTCATTCACAATTTATTACAGCATAGTAATTTATGTACTGTTTCAGTAAGGATGCCATTTACTGGATGTAAACACAAATTGAAACATTTGCACAAGAAATTTTGCTCAAAATATTATGCATTTCTCTGCTAATCGCACAGATTAAAAACATTCTAAATTGAAAACTTTTTAAATTATTGATTTAAAGACTATCTTAAACATTTTAGATAAAATCAGTTTACATACATTTTAAAGAAACAAGCAAAAAAACTTGCCTCTGTCTCTTGGTGTGTAAACAGGTTTATCTGTCTGAATAAAAACATAACCAGCATTAAAGTTTATAGGCAAAATGATTTCTTTGTGAAACAATTCACTGTGAGCAGTTAGAGAGACTGTCTTCTCAGAATTTTTATCTTCCAAAAATCCTGGTGGGAAATTCTTTGGATTCAAATGAATAGGAAATATTTTCGGAACTCCTAAAAGGGAATAACAAAATGATTCCAGTATTAAAGATTTTAACAAAACATTTGATTTTAAAATTTCCAAACTTCATTATTTGAAATTACTAATTTATTTTATAGTTGAAAAATTAATAAGCTTAGTTCTATATTTTGTCAGAAAGCATTTTCACTACTTATGTATCAGCTGAGACAAATTATGGACCACCAAACCTAGTATATGGATTTGAAACAGATACCGTTAATTACCGAAAATTTCTAACTTAGTAATTTTATAAAATAAATAGAAAAAATTAAATAGTTAGATAAATTTAGTTCATTATAAATGTGTATCATAACTGAAACACGAAAAAATGGTTTTGTTATGGACAATAATTCTAAGGAATACGAGCAGGTTACTAGTTTAGTTATCTACCTAATTTGAAAAGTGTTTTCTTCATCTGTGCTTACAATCCTTCGCATAAAAAGGTTCACTGACTTTGTCATGGATAACATTCTATGTAAAGCAATATCACACATTTATGGAGGCTGTCGTGCCACAAATAACAGCGTAAAACCGAGTACATCAATTTACCGAGTACATCAATATTGCAGGCCCACTGCAGTCTATGAACTTACGTACATTAATTACACTGGAGAAAAGCACGATATCCTAGACTTTTTGCATACAAACACCAATCTCCCCATGATGCTCGAGGTCAAGAACAAGCTCATCTCAGATCATCTTCCAGTTATTACTAAATTTGGAGTCTCCAAACAAGATACATCGAAGATAGACATAGAGTGGAGGTTAGTATTATTGGTTTATTAGGTAAAAAATTCTTATTTAGTTGGATTTATTGTGTTACAAATTCTGTTTGTGTTACACAGTTGGATTTATTGTGTTACAAATTCTTAGTTTCACAGCAAGTTGTCGGTGTTATTGGTAAAGCACGAAGTACATGCCTTTCTGTTCATAGTTGAAATTAATAAAGGGTTATTTTTACCCTTCTTCTGTGCTGGTATATTTCACGCCTGTGCGAGAAATCGCCAGGTTCATTAATAGGATCTAGATTAGTTTATGAGTCCAAAGAGTGTTAGATCCTATAATTTAAAATAGAACTGAAAACTTCCAAATAGCAGAAATGGGAATAATTCCTGAAATCATTGACGACTGAAAATAATTCCTTATTAGATTTTAACAGAAAACTTACTAAAAGGTAGATGCTCAACGGCTCACCGAAAATCATTTATTCTGATGATGATAAAGTAGACTGGCTTGCTGATGAGCTGGAAAACATCATCCACACAAACCCCTGGCCATATGACTATAATATTATCACTAAAGTCAATAGAAAAATGAACAACTTTATACAACTTAGACCATGTGACCCCCCCTTCGACTGCCACTTCCTCGCAAATTGTGAGCATCAACAAAACAGTCAAAAATAGAAAAGCTGCCTAACATTATGGAATCAGTAACAAGGCTGCGAAGCATTCTGCTCCTAATGCCATCACCAATATTTAAAGAAACATAAATTTCTGCTTGTAGCTCAATTACTTCCCTCAAAGCTAGAAAGCTATATACTATATATATAAAAACTATACAATGCACGATATTTATTTTTCCCTAGCTCAATAAAATCATACTTTCCAGCAGAAGTATAGGCTCACGAGCTTATACAGCGCCCTTTCTAAGATCGCTAAAGGTCATCCTGCGTCATCTACACCACCACTACAATATTACTAAGAACTTTCCTCTTGAATGATTTGGATTCAGAATAAGTCATAGAATTCCACACCAAGGCCTGTGATAAACACAGCAACAGAGCAGTTCATTTGCAAATTACTCACTGGTGTTGTCTTTTTAGACATCGTTAAAGCTTTTCAGAGGGTGCAGTACAGTAGCTTTCTGTATAAGTTCGCCCAACTCACGCTGTCTTGAAATGTTTTTATTTTAAATAAACCAGTTATTATAATTTCGGTCTTTACTATTACTTCTCCTTTCCGTATTTCTCACCAGAATGCAAATGAGTAGTCAGTATATATTCTTGGATTTTAAGACAGAGTGTGTTTCTGAATACGGGCTATGTGTTAAGTTTGCTGCCACCTCTGGTAAATGTAATTGTTCCGCGTTTCGTTCTATCGCTGCTGGCACTTTGATTTTAACACTCCGGTAAAATAGTGAATCAACTTCCAAAAATATTTATTTAAGCAATCGTCGTCTGCTGTTCAACGTTTCACTTAAATCTGACTGAATTCACCATGAGTTGTGGCTTTCATTGTAGAACAAGACAGGGCGTTTCTATTCTAAACTCTGTTTAAATAAAAAAGTTTTTTAACCTTTTGACGACTTTCTCATCGCTTCATGCTTCAGACATAGCGATAGTTCGCTTCATGCCTGTTAGGGTTATTGGACTACGTAGCCTTAACAGATCATGTACAACCCTACAGCCTGATTATATCATCGAAATCATCAGTTCATTCCTCAACAGCTACAAGTTCTATGCTCGAATATGATCGCAACTTTCCACAATTTGCAACATCAAGCTGGAATTTCCAATGGCAGCGTGTTGTGCTCCATTCTCTTTAGTATCTATACTCATGACATCCTACATGAACACAAAATTCAATTTGCAGTGTTTGGGGATGTACCGCTGTACTCATACAAACTATGAATATAAAAACAGTACGTCAAAATGTTCAATTTACCTGGACCTCCATGAACATTGAAACTTAGAATGGCTATCTTCGTAAACACGCAAATGTCTTTTGCCATTATCTTCCGAAAAGGAAATTCAAATAAACATGTGTCTAAACCCAACCTATTTGACCAATTGCCTCGGAAAGCAAGACTACGAACCTTGAAGTCACCTTAGATTCCAACCTTACCTTCAACCACCATCATAAGGTCGCTATAATGGTTTTCGCACTGCATCGTGCCGAATGATGGCATGACAGGAGTGCTATAAAGTTTGAGTAGGTGACAAGTTCCACATAATGTTTTGGAACCTGTGTACGAATTCTGAAGGCTCAACGCTGCTTTGCGTAGATGGAACAAGGACTTCTCTAGAAAGACGTATAGTGGAAACGTATACCAACTCATTTATAGAATACTTTAGTTCAGATATGAAGGCTGGTCGTATTCATAACAGGACTAATGGCAGTGAATCAGTACATTGGTTTCTAATATGGTATCTAGGTGCCTGTTTCAAGAAGCGATGGAAACGCTTAAGCAAACCATTGCTGGCTGGATTATATGAAGTTGTTGGTATGTGCTTTATGACCAAAAAGGCTGACAGCAAGTAAAACAGAGATGAATGGAACTGCCTACCCTGGTCCGTTATTATTGTAGAGTCCGTTATTACTGCATGAAAAACGAAATATCCAGCCCGAGATGAATGTGCGAACAACAGTTTCTGAAAATATTCCCTTGATAGCAAATGCTTCAGGTCGTCAGGTGAATCAATCAATACATGTAAGTAGGTATTAAAATTCTTGAGAGGAAGGTAATATCCCGACCAATTTTAAATGGATGTGGTCAAATCTTGCGGTTGGTAAGGCGAATTGTTGACGTGGACTGTGCTTATGTCTAGCAATTTTGCATTGTTGACAGTCCAACATCTTGTATAAGGCGTTTTGTAGCAGGGAAATCCTGATGGAAATGATTATATAGAGATCTGAAGATTATCTGTCTCAGACTAGCTGGTACGTATGGGTTAACTCTGTTATTACTTTTGTCACAAAAAATTTCCAGCGTAATTGGGGGTTTAAGTCACTTAAACTATAAAGAGATTAAGCTATAAAGAGACTCATAATTATTTTGTTCCTGTTTTACAATCTCTGAAAAATCTACCGAGTCCCCTGCACCAATCCGAGACAGTGCATCAGCGACTACATTAGCCGCCTCAGAAACGTACTGATGTTCTGTGCTGTACTGAGCTATAAAATCTAAATACATACGCTATCGAGAGAGGAGACATGGAATGAGACTTGAATTAAACATTAAACACACGGGTTAAATATTTTTTGATCAGTGTAGCTAATAAAATTTTGTCCTTTTAAGTTATGCTTAAAGTATTTTACAGCACAGTAATTGACTAATGGCTGTCTTTCAAAAGTACTATAATTTTTCTTTGCTGGCGAAAGTCTTTTGGGAAAAAATGCCAATGGTGGAGTGCTTTGCGCTCGGATGGTATTTAAAACCGCTCGAGTGACATCAACTGAGTCGACGGGCGTGAGAGTTAGTTGCTCACCCGGGTCGTGAAACCCGTTGAGTTTCAGAACACTCAGTATCAGTATTACACTTAAAAATAGTAATCGCTTGTCGTTCCATTGGACAGGACTTGACTCCCTGGGACAATTTTCCAGTAATATTTAAGGGATTTAATGTCTGCCTTCTAGAGGCCTCCGAAATTTTCAGCTCTAGAAGGCGAAAAGTAATAATGAACAGTCTCTGAATTCATATATTATGACAAAAGGTTATTTGCCTGATTTACCAGCTTAAGCATTGTTCCTATTACGTTTTTCGCATTGTCTGTGTGCACCTTACTACACTACATTCTTCTTAACATAAACAGCTTGAGTGTATCTACGAAAGCTGCTGAAGTAAAACCTGTGACTAATTCCGAACGTATGGCCTTGGTTATAAAGCAGAATGGATAGTTTTTAATTATTCCTTATCATTTGGTAATATTCCAACTACCCTTTGGTAATTTACCCATTAACAGTTGTATTGATTTAGAGATAGTTTTAAAGCAAATTACACACTTTTGCACTCCATTTCTGCACAAATTTCTGCCTTTCACTACCTAAAACCTAAAAAGCATTAGGTCCTGTTTGTAAATCTTTTACATTATAATATTTAACTATGATTTTAGTTAATTTATGACTGGATGGTAGATGAATTAGTATTTTTAGCATAACTTACATTACGCTGTGTAAGTTTTCCACCTACTCTTAACAATCTATCTTCATCAATGAATGGATGAAAATTACTTACCTTTTGAAATTCCTTCCCTTGTTTTTACGAATACAAA